GGGTTTCTGCTATACTAATGCTGGTCTGGTGGCTCTGTGGGTTCTGTAGGTCTGGAGTTGAGCCCACCTGAATCTAGACATCAAGGTGGCACAACTGGAACCCGATTCAAACTACTGTTTCAACTTCACAAACAAAAATAATGAAACAATGAAAGTAAAGAAACAAAAACACGCACACAAACCGCTGCCTTTAAGGAACACTGAAGCCAGCTACATTAATGGGCTTCACAAAGTACTTACAAATTGGATGTCCTGAGCATAGAAACCATCTAGGCCTATAGGAACTCCATCTAGGGCTGGGAACTTGGCTGTCACATCCTCCCTCCACCCACCGCTTGAGCTACTTGGCTTGACAGGACACCCCCAGAGTTTTCTCCTCTCAGGGTACAGCAGTTGCACTGCTCTGTTTGTTTTTATTTCTTTACTTTTACTGTTTTTGTTTATTTTTTCATCTCCTTCACTTTCCCTTCCCTTGATTTTAATTCTATCTCAAATTTCATTTTTCTTTTATTCTGTTTCTCATTTATCCCTCTTCTTCTGTTTTTCCTTGTGATCTTTCTTTTACTCTCTACTCTGTCTTTTCATCTTCTGTCTCCCTGCTTTATTTAGTGTTTTCAAAATTTCTTCCTTTTTGTTTCTCTTAGCTTCGTCTTCTATAGTTCAATTTTTCTTTCCCTTTTTTCTCTTTCTGGTTATTATGTTGTTGTTTTTTCATTGCTGCCTGTTTTTTGGTTTTTTTTTCTTCTTCTTTTTCTATTTATGCTATTGTTTTCTTAATTGTATATTCTGGGTTTTTTTTTTTGTTTTGTTTTGTTTTGTTTTAGGTTTTTGTTGTTGTTGTTAGGCACCATCGAGTTGGTACTGACTCACAGTGACCTTACGCACAGCAGAACAAAACACTGCACGATCCTGGGCCAACCTCACTATTGTTGCCACGCTTGACACCATGGATGCTGCCACTTTGTCAATCCTCTCGCTGGAGGTCTTTCTCTTTTTCTCTGACCCTACACCTTACCACACATGATATCCTTCTCCCGCGACTGGTCCCTCCTGACAATATGTCTGAAGTATGAGAGACGAAGTTTGGCCATCTTGGCCTCCAAGGAGTACTCTGGTTGCACTTCTTCCAACACTGAAATGTTGGTTCTTTTGGAAGCCCATGGTACTTTCAATATTCTCCTCCAATACCAAACTCAAAAGCATCAATTCTTCTACTGTCTTCTTTATTTTATTGTCCAGCTTTCGAATGCATATGAGGTTATTGAAACTCTCATGGCACCTTAGTCCTCAAACTCTTCAAGACTTAAAAAGGTCTTGTGCAGTAGTTTTGCCTAATACAATAAATACATCGTTTGATTTCTTGACTGCTGCTTCCATGAGTGTTGATAGTTGATCCAAGAAGAATGAAGTCCTTGACAACTTCAATCTTCTCTCTGTTGATAAGAATGTTGTTTACTAGTCCAGTGGTGAGGATTTTTGTTTTCTTTACATTGAGATGTAATCCATACCAAAGGCTGTGCTCTTTGATCTTCATCAGAAAATGTTTTAAGTCCTCTTCACTTTCAGCAAGAAAGGTTGTATCATCTGCACATTGCAAGTTGTTAATGAGTCTTTCTCCAATCATGATGCTACATTTTTCTTTATATAACCCAGCTTCTCAGATTATTTGCTCAGCATACAGATTGAATAAGTATGGTGAAAGAATACAACCCTGCCGCACACCTTTCTTAATTTTAAACCATTCAGTGTTCCCATGTTCTGTTCGAACAACTGCCTCTTGGTCCATGTACAGTCTCCATGTACAGTACACATGAGCACAATTAAGTGTTCAGGAATACTCATATTTTGCACTGTTGCCCATAGCTTGTCATGATTCACACAATCAAAAGCCTTAGCTTAGTCAATAAAGCATAGAAAAACATCTTTCTGATATTCTCTGCTTTTAGCCAAGATCCATCGGACATCAGCAATGATATCCCTCGTTCCATTGCCTCTTCTGAATCTGGCTATAACCTCTGGAAGTTCTCTGTCAACATATGCTTTTTGAGGTAGATACTATTTATTATACTCATATAACAGATAAATACATAGAGGTACATGAAGACTAGGCACCCTGCCCTGAGCGCTACAGAGAGTAAGATGTGAAGCTTGGTTTGAATCCAAATAGTTGACTCAGACTAAGCAACTGAATGACATGATTATTTCTGATCATTGTTAGAGACTTTTATTGAGATCTATATTCAATGCTCAATAATCTGGTGAAGGTGTGGTGGCTTTGTATGTCTCACACCCAAATTTTTAATCTCAGATCTGAAATCTGACTGCCATGAAATTTAGCCTCCATTGGGATCCTGGCAGGGTTGTTAAAAATAAAAGAAAATCACCTTTCCTATCTGCTAATGGGAATCCTAGTGTGGCACTGTACACCTGGACATCTAAGTGCAAGGTCAGGGGTTCAAACCCACCAGTCACTATTTGGAAATCCTACACAGGGTCTCTATGAGTCAAAATCGACTCCATGGCTCTTAAAAAAAACAACAGTTGTTGTTCTGCAATTTTGAACATAGATGTGAACACAGATGAATTCAAGTGCTGGATTCCTATCCCCAGAGGTCTCTAGGACTTGAGACCATTAGTGATGATTCTCCAGCTAACAGGCCTTGCTATATTCAAGGCTATTCATGGCATTCTAGTTCTTCTAATAAAAGCTGGAGATGTCCTCGGTCATCTTTTTTTTTTTTTTTAAATATCATTAAGTTCTCATCTTTTGATTCCTGTGTTTTTTCTTGCCTTATCATATTCTGTTTTTATTTAATAAGTATGCAATTACTAGCTGTATGACCCACACAAGCCATGTTATCTCTAAGGCCTAGGTTGGCTCGTCTGTAAAATAAAGATATACTTTGCCTGCCGTGAGGCAAGAGATCTGATGACCTCTGGAGGGCACTTCAAGCTCTAAACTGCAAACAGGGCAGAAGAGGAGGGGCAGGGTGGGGACATTGTGCAACCATTCAACTCTTCAGAAGTTAACTTAGTTGTACATCAACTGCTAGTTTAGTGGAGGGTTGTTGTTGTTAATTGTCATTGAATCAGTTCCACTGAGCGGCGCTGTATAGGGTTTTTGAGGCTGTAAATCTTTACAGGAGCCAAAAGCCTCCCATTTGGAGCACATGGTGGGCTCAAACCACAGACCTGTGGTTACTAGTCCAGTGTTTATCCTACAGAGCTACCACCCTCCCTTCAATAATGGGTAAAACCAAACAATTTATCTTTTCTTGTTGTTGTTAAGTGCCATCGAGTCAATTTAGTTCTGACTCATAGCCCCCCATGTATAGGGTTTCTGAGGAGCCGTTGATGGGTTTGAACTCCAACCTGTGGTCAACAGTCACACCAGGACTACAACTCATCTCTAGAGGAAGAGTGTTGTTGTTATGTTCCGTGGAGTCAGTTCTGACTCAGTGACCCTGTACAGGGTTACCGAGGCTATAAATCTTTATAGGAGCAGAAAGCCTCATCTTTCTCCAGTTGGTAGTTTCGAACTTCTGACATTGCGGTTCACAGCCTGATCCGTACTCATCTTTATTAACTGGTTGCTAGCATCAAAGCTATTGTGCCTGTTGACCACAGGTTGGAGGTTCAAACCCATCAGCTGGTCCTCAGAAACCCTATACAGAGGGGCTATGAGTTAGAACCAAACTGACTCAATGGCACAACATATTTACCAATATAAAGGAGCTCTGGTAATGGTTATGAATTGGGCTGCTAATCTCACGGTCAGCAGTTAGAAACTACCAGCTGTCCCATGGGGGAAAGATGAGGCATTCTGCTTCCGTAAAGATTTACAGCCTCAGAAACCCTGTACTGGGTCACTATGAGTCAGTACCGACTCCACAGTACATAACAGCAACAACAACATTTACCAATATAGAGGAATAAAAGAAAAAAAAAATTTGAATGAATAGTTTCAACACCAGAAGAGATTTTGATATTTTCATCAGCAACAGAAGAACTGTGCTCATCACTCTTGACTACAAATCTTAATGATGAATAACTATGGGCAAGAAGGAGATACATACTCATTTTATGGCAAACATTTCTATCTACCATTAGATGCAGTTTTTTTTTTTTTTTTTTTACAGGTAGCATTTTTAACATTCAAATTTTTAAAAATTCAATACATTAAAGGAATGCTGAAAGCAACATGGCTCCATTTTTGCTGGACTGAATTAGATATTCTTTGGGGTGAAGTCCTTCTAAAGATTACTTCTCAATCTATTTTCCCTTTCTTTTCCTAACTTTTCTCTCTATATAGCATAAGGATGGAGTGGAAGTAGGGGATAAAAATGTGCCAATCAGAAGACAGTGACAAGAATTTTAGTTGTTGCTTTGTTTTGTGGAGCTCACCCACCCATGCCTTCCCCCCTTTTCAGCTTTAAAACAAATCTCTCTTCCCAACCACTCCTATCCTTGGAGTAAACAGACCAGACCTTCATTTAGAGTAAAGGGGAGGGGGTCAACTAAAAGTTTATTGCAAAATAAGACGGAATTAACAACTGACTTTCTTATTTCAAAACTCCCATATTCTGCCAATTAAAAAAAATCTGTTCCCCCTATCTTCTGAATGACTTAGATTTCAGGCCATCACGGTTTTTAAGTCATAAAGAAAGCATTATTTTTCATACGTTCTGCAAACTGAATTGGGTGCCCTCTGTCCCCCTTCATTGTTGCGCCAGCATTTTAAAAGGTTCTTTCTGCCGGTTAATTTTAGGCTGACGTCGGGGTTCCAGGAAAGCATTTTTTTCCTCTTTAAGGATTATCGCAGATTTCACACCACCACACATTCCTCCAGTTTTCTTTCTCCTATTTACTCTCCTCAGAGAATTAGATGCTTGGAGATGGTGAAATTCTCTTCTCTGTGACAAGGCAGAGGGGTGCCTGTCTCCATGCCAAAAGAACCTAGCGTTGCCCAGGGTTTTCAGTGCTCCCAAAACTGACTTTACACTCTGTGGGTTCGAAAAGTGACTGAAGTCATGGAGTGCTCCTCGGTCCTTGTGGTCATGCAGCCCTTTGTCCACATGGTGTGCTGCACTTCTTGTGTCCTCTGATATTCCAAGACCCGCATGAGAATGGATTTGGGTGGGGCTTCGGACTCTCCTCGCTGGGCTCAGGAGGGATCTTCCACATGGTGGCCAGAAATTAGCCATTCTCATGGAAATCGAGATGAGCAATTGGGCACCTGGAGGTCTTTACCTGCCTGGGGTAGGCTTTCCCCACCAGCCACATCTTGGCATCCAAGGTTCCCTGGAGTCCCCAATCTCTCTGGGTGCAAAAGAAAGAGCACTTTCTCTCTGACCCAGGTCTCACAGTTCAAGTTCTCTCCAGCCAGCAATCTGGGGACTCGGGATGCCGAAGGGTCTTTGGTGTGGCCTCTGCTTCCCCTCAGCGAGATTTAGGGAGCCCGGGGCCAGGGCCGCCCCCAGATTCGCATAAAAACAACCTGGTCTCAGAGACGTGGGGTAAGTCCATGGGATTCCAAGCACTTGGTGCCCCGGGAGACCTCATTCTGTCAGGAAGATAGTTCATTGGTTTCTTCCTTCACCAGATCACTCAGTAGTTCCTGCTGAGAATTTCCTGTTTTGCTTTCTTGTTTGTGTGAATTTTCTCCTCTTGTACCACCCAAATGGAGACAACAACTGTGCCCATACAATCCAGCCACAACCATACTTTCTGTAGTTCCACCAGCTGGACAAGAACCAATACCAGTTCCTATACCAACTGATCAATGATAGACATCAACCAACCCAAACTTAACTGAACAGTGAATGGAAAATGGTTCACATGCTTCAATATTCTAATCACAGTCACAAGAGATAGATGGTGACAGCCTAAAAACACATCAACATGCAGTCATCATTTAAATACAAATACAACACCACCACAATGTCCCAGAGACAACAGACAAAAAAAAAAAAAGAAAAAGAAAAAGGAAAAATAGAGTGTGGCTCAATCAAATGTATGAGATGCAGAACCAGAAAACATTTCTGAAGAAGAAAAAGAATTGGAACTACCTGAGAAAGTATTCAAAATAATATTTAGGTACCTTCAATGGACTGACTGAACGATTGCGGAAAATAAGAACACAGAAAAAACTTTAGAAGAGTTTAGGAAAACACTGCAAGACCAAACACACAAAATTAAAGCAAATTTTGAAACAATGTTAAAGTGGCACATAGAAATCCAGGCAATTAATACTAAGATTTCAGAAATAGACAATAAATTCAAAGAACAAAGGAATACATTCAAAACAATGGGAGCCCAAACAAGTGAGATTGAAGACAAATCTCTCAGTACTATTATGTTGTTGTTAAGTGCCGTTGAGTCACTTCTGACTCACAGCAACCCTGTATAGGGTTTTAGAGGAGGGGCTGGTGAGTTTGAATCACTGACCTTGTGGTTCAAACCAACTTTGCAGTCCAGTGCTTTATTGCACTGCACCACACTAGGACCCTAACACTACTATAACAGAAGAATACATAGGAAAAACAATGATCAAATCCAAAGAAAGCCTAAGATTTATTTGGGGCAACATGAAGAGGAATAACTTATAAGTGATCAGAATTACAGAACAAGAAGAGACAACAAAAAGCCATCGACTCACTATTGTCAGTTAATTTTCAACAAATGGTGCTAGCAAAACTGGAAATACATTTGCAGAATAATAAAACAAGAACCGTAGCTCACACCATATACAAAAATGAACTCAATGTGGATTAAAGGCCTAAATGTAAAACCCAGAACTATAAAGATCATCAATAAAAAAACAGGGACAAACTTAGGGGCTCTGATACACAGCACAAATACACTCTCAAACAACTGAAAATACACAAACAGAAAAAGAAAATAGATGTCTGGCACCTCCTAAAAATTAGACACTTATGTACATCAAAAGTTTTCACCAAAAGAGTAATAAAAGAACACACATACTGGGAGAATTTTTTTTGGTATTCACATATCATACAGAGTACTACTCTATAAAATGTATATTGTTGTTGTTGTCAGGTGCCATTGAGTAGGAACCAACTCATAGCTACCCCATGCACAGCAGAACGAAACAATGTCAGATCCTGGGCCAACCTCACTACCGCTGCCACACTTGACACCATCAATGAAGCCACCTGGCTGATCCATCTCATTGGGGGTCTTCCTCTCTTTCTCTGACCCTCCATCTTACCCA